CAAATTCTGGTGGGGGTCTCTCAGTGTGCGCTCGTGAGTGTGTAAGCCCCGCCCCCCCCGCTTGGCCACGCCCCTCTCGGACACGCCCTGCTTAGCCCCGCCCAGGTGGGCGGGGTCAATAAATCCCTGAGCTGCTGGCGCTGGGTGGCTGCTGATGGGGGGCGGGGCTGTGTGGGACCCCCCCCGCCCCCAAAATTTGGGGGAGGCACCTGGAGACACCTGGGGACAGTTGGGGACACCTGGGGGACATCGGGGACACACCTGGGCGCAACTGGGACACACCTGGGGACAGTTGGGGACACCTGGGGGGAGCCTTGGCACACCTGGGGACACCTGTGACACCTGGGGGACACCTGGGGGACACCTGGGGGACATTGGGCATATCTGGTTCACACCCGGGGCACACCTGGAGCACACCTGGAGACACCAGTGACACACCTGTGGCACACCCGGGGCACACCTGGAGCACACCTGTGACACACATGTGACACACCCGGGGCACACCTGTGGCACACCTGTGACACACCTGTGACACACCTGTGACACACCCGGGGCACACCTGGAGACACCTGTGACACACCTCGAGACACCTGTGACACACCTGTGACACACCTGTGCACACCTGGAGACACCTGTGACACACCTGGGCACACCCGGGGCACACCTGTGACACACCTGTGACATACCTGTGACACACCCGGGGCACACCTGGAGACACCTGTGACACACCTCGAGACACCTGTGACACACCTGTGACACACCTGTGGCACACCTGTGACACACCTGTGGCACACCTGGAGACACCTGTGACACACCTGGGCACACCTGTGACACACCTGGAGACACCTGTGACACACCTGTGGCACACCCGGGGCACACCTGTGACACACACTGGGCACACCCGGGGCACACCTGGGGCAGGTACGGGCTGTGGGGGGCACGGGCCGCGTTGTTCCGGCTGCACTCGGCGCGCGGGAAGGTTTTATCGCCGGTAGAGCGGCGGGCATGTCGCGACATGCGACCGCGACAGGGAGGGAGAGAAGGACGGGGCGTGGACCTCCCGCCCGCCAGGGGGAGCCCGCCAGGCGGCAGCGCGGTGATGACGCGCTTCCTGCGATGACGTCAGAGGCAGCATGGCGGCGGCGGAGAAGGCGCAGCGCTACGAGGCGTTCGTCAGCGACGTCCTGCAGCGCGACCTGAGGTAGGCGACGTCATATCGCGACAGAAACCCCGCCCCCGCGACAGCCCGGCCCTCCCTACAGCGCGGTGGCCACGCCCCCTCTGCCGCAGCATCAATAGCAGTGTTGTGGCCACGCCCATTCAGCCGGAGGCCACGCCTAGTTTGTAGCCACGCCCCCTACGTAACCGCATAGTGACAGCGTGTTGTGGCCACGCCCATCGAGGCTGAGACCACGCCTATGTTGTGGCCACGCCCCTCCGCCTCAACCCTGGCTATTCATAATAACCGCGTGTTGTGGCCACGCCCTTTCCCCTCGAGACCACGCCCATGTTGTGACCACGCCCATCCACCTCCACACCTTACCCGTACTGTAGCCACGCCCATTCACCATAAAGCCACGCCCATTTTGCCCTCGCACCCCCTCTATGCTCTGTTGTGGCCACGCCCGCTCATTACGAGCCCACGCCCATTCGGTGGCCCCGCCCCCTGGGGAGGCCCCGCCCCCTGAGCAGCGCCCCCTGCAGGCGGGTGCAGGAGCAGCGCGACGCCGTCTTCGAGCAGCAGGCGCAGGTGCTGCAGCTCCGCTCCGCCCTCGCCCGCCTCCAGGTGGGCGGGGCCGGGGGCGTGGCTTGGGGAGAGGGCGTGGTCAGGTCTGGGGAGGGGCCTGGAAGGGGATTG